TAAGTTATATCGCTACCGGACACAACAATAAAAATACTTTTTGTTTATCCAGATGTGATTACGACTGGACTCCCGGTCGTGAATTCGATCAAACGTAACGTAAACTTAAAACATTGTGCCTTTAAACACTACCACGAGTATTGCCTATTTTCATCTAATGTGTTTACAAGTTGTAAAAGTTTTGAAACTGTATCTTCACAGGTACTTGTTTGCCTTGCATTCTGCGCACAAGCTATCCATGTTTCCTTTTTGGAACCTTGGGCAATAATACATATTTTACCATCGTAAAGTTGTTATCAATCATTTTTATTTTATCAACTCCGGACCCAAACAGAAGCTTATAAGATTAACTTGTAAATCGTTTTTCATTTTTTGTTTTGATTATCAGCTCTAAGCTAATCGTTGAATAGACTTTTAGGCTGGGGTATAAATGTTCAATGTTATTACACTTTTTTAAATTTATCCTTGGTATTTATCTTGTCAATTTTCATAGTTTTATCGGCATCGCACAGTATTATAATTCAGGACGTTTGGATACCAAATTTTATCGTACGTGACTATTTCCCTAGAGAATACGACGCCAGTGCCAAGGCCATCACACATACGTGACTAAACAATATATGAATTAAACATGAGTTAGTCGCCGTGTTCCTCTTTGATGTGACTTCACTACTGGCGGGTCCTATGATTGGCAGGATATAGTCTTCTCTCATAAAGTTTAGTTGATATCTACTTCGAGTAGTTTAGTTGGCAGATGGCCAGGCGCTGTTTCTTCTATTGATTTTTTAGATAAGTACCCAAGCACTTTCTATCTACTGGACATATTACTTTTCTATAAAAACATTATAAAGCTGCTAATACACTGCAGCTCTTGATACAGGGATAGTTGATTGAATGTTTACATTTACATTATTAACAAAACTATTTAGCGTTCTAGTTTAGCAACTAGAACGCTAAATAGTTAAGTTTTAAATATCAACATGTTTGTTACTAGTATATAAGCCAATTTTTTAATGTTTCAGAAACGGTATACATCGCTGTTTAGACATTAATAGTATAATTTTATGATCCGATCAGCAGCTATTTTACCGCATAATAAACTACGAGTGTGTAAAGTAAGAATTACGCGAGAGTGTTGGAAACATCAGGAAATAGGTACGTGCCTACGTTTTACGTTATAACTGCTCACAGCAGGGTAGTTGCTGATGCAGAATGTTAGTGTATCAGCGGATGATGATGTTAAAAAAAAATGACTCAAATAAAACATATCTTTTATGAAATTATTAGCAAACGTGAAATATTATTTTGCAAATAATTCTATATATGTAGTCTACCATCAGTTCTCCACAAGTCAAATTTTTAAAAATAAACCAACAGAGTTTAAAGTTAAATATTAGTAAAGAGATAAATTTACAACACTTTCGCACACATCTAACACTAAACGTATGTTACAAAAACCTATTAAAGTATTTCATTTGCTTACATTACCTTTAGAATAGAACTGGTTAATGCGCTTCAGTTTAATCAGCGCTGCAGGAATTAGTATTTATTTGCAGCATCTACGTCATTCAAAGCTTAACTACAGAAATATCTATCATTATATCTCTGTTGAAATCCAATAAAATATTTTGCAGCCTGTTTTAGACAATTACGCCACTCTGCTGATTCGCACACGGAGTTCGAAGGGACGTTTTAAAAGTATTGCTAAGTAAACCCTGTAGGTTCCCTGTGATAGTATACTTACATGACATATCTCACACATGGCCTTCTAATCTCAACTAGACAGAGCCTGTATTATAATAACTAGACCGCTGATAAACATACTTATTAATTTCTATATAGATACTGACACCAACACAGAACAAATTGTTGTGCTCATCACACAGTTATTTTTTTTGGATAGGTATCAAAGCACATCTCGGCACAGCTGTTTCTTGCTGTTGCTGTCTTAGGTTTGTTAGTATGTGGTAGGACAAAATAGCAGTTTCTGATTTACATTATGCGGGAATATTCTACGTTCCTGTCTTTTTAACCCCCGATTAAAAAAAACGAGGGGTGTTATAAGTTTAAGGTGTGTGTGTATCCTTGTATCTGCGCATCTGTGTATCTGTCTGCTGTCTGTCTGTGGTATTATAGCTCCCGAACGGACGGACCAATTTCGATGCGATTTTTTGTTCGAAAGCCGATGAGATCGAGATGGTTCTTAGCTCTAAATGTTGAAAATCATCAGCTTACTTCCTAGGCGATAGAGGTATCTCACTAAAATACACAGGTCCGATTGAACTGAAATTTGGTATACTGTTACTTTGATGTTATTTCCACGACATGGTAACCTGGAACTTGCTGCTGCATAAAGTAGTCTGCGTAATAGCCAAGTCCTCATAAAATTACAGTACAAATACCATGTTTGGGCTTATAAGAACAGTCTCAATAAGCAGTTGTTGTTTTTTAGTTTTTTTGTGTCGGGGTTTTTTTAATAATGCTATTATTCTGTATTTTTTTTAATGTTGAGATTTTCCATGTTAATTTTATTGAGGACTTTGTAAGACTATCTAGTTCAGTAATTTCTAAAGTGGGTTTTTGTTTCTCTAAGTAGTCTAAACACCTGTTTAGCAATATATCGCTTAATATCTTAGGTGAACGATTTTCATTTTTATTGCTTGTTATCATACATACGATTAGATTACTCGTCTGATACTGTTGTAGATATTGATAGTCCAAGGTCACAATTTTGCAGTAAACAACGTTACATGTAGTTATTTTTAGGTCTAAATAAGACGGCATTTATTTGTGTAGCCATTGTAGCCGTATTGAACAATTGATTTCTTTTAAATTATAGAGTTTCTGAACACGATCGATCACTTTCCTAATACCTATAAATGCTGGGAGGCAAAGATGTGACCAGATGCTCGACTATTTTGATTCTCATCTGAAGGGGCTCACCATTAGAAACATAATATTGAAATGTATTTTTGGTAACACAAGTGGTACTACTCGAACTTAGACGACTTCAAGAAACCTAACTGAAAAGTCACGTTATAAGTTACTGCATTTGCACGTTGTCAGAATTTTAAGATTTCTAAAATTTTGGAAAAGTAGGAATGTGTTCTTACTTTAAATGTTAAAAAGGAATAAGTGAGCAACATCAGCGTCGAAAACATTTTTTTTAAATCCACTCGTTGCATTTCATTGTTTTTTTCACTGAACTCACTTGACAATTATTGACTTTTATTGGTCACTCCGTCCTTTTACGAACAAGGTGAACAGATTCGTGATTCAATAGACAATATCTATCGCCTTTAGGTTTTGAGGCTAAGGTTTTCCAAACTTATATATCCCAAGGATAAATTCAAGAAAGTTACAATAAAATAATTATCTACATCTTTTTTCTCAGGTTTGTATTAGATTGTTCATGTTCACGCTCACTCTCATGTTCATGTCTGATAACTTTCATTCAAGTGACTCATCTGCTTGCTTGCCCTATATCATAAAGCAATACATCCCCTAAACTTCAAACAAAGAAATTGAAGAAGTTTCAGGAAAGGCCACCATTTACACGTTGTATAAACAATGAGACATATTTTCTTTTGGGTAGTGTGTTAAAGGGAGACCAATGAAACCAACTATTTTATCATTTCTTTTTTATTGATTAGTTACTTACTCACTATAGTTATAAACGTTAAACACGTTAAAAAAAAGAAAACAAATTGAATATAAGAAGTTTATCGAGATTACATAACATTTGTGTAAAATGCATCGATGAGTTTTCTTAATCCTAATAAAGGGTAACGTTGACTTTGGTAAGTGCATTGCAAATTAATATTGCGTTATTTATATTATAATGCTTTTTGGGGCCCTAAGTTACAAAGGGCAAATGCGGTAACAGAAAGTCATAATATGAATTAATACATAGTTAAAGAAGAAGGTATATTAAGCAGTTTTTATACTACTATATGCAATCAAAAAATTATACACCTTAAGTGGCAACTAGTTCATGACGAATTTCTGGTGTTGCAAAAGTCTAATTATCTCAGTCAACAGTTAAGAAACTTAGTGATGGTACTCGAATCAGGCAGTATAACTCACTTGTTAATAATATATTTTTAATTACACATTATGTAGGGATATTGCAAGTTCACGGCATCACTTTAGTAGTTATATATTCACATCCGCAAGTGTTCTTATGCCAGGCAGTGTCCGATATTAGTCTATGAAAATCGTCAGCTGGTCACACGAGGTTTGTGTTCCACCTGCGATTCAACTTGCGTGTTTTAACAGTAATTGAAGTAGAAATAGAACATGTATTATACGAATAAATGTGTTATTTCACTTACAATCTGTAGACGGTATGTATGAAGTGCCTAAACTAGATTCTCTTCCGCGAAACCTGTTTTATATCAATCGTTAACAGTGAACAAAAGTTGTTACTGCTGTCCTAATCGACAGCTGCTACGACGCGGTTGGTCGTAAATTGAAGTCGATTGGAAATTTTAAGTCAAATTAAACGTAATCCGCATTTATCCACAATATTTTTATGCCTACATATGTATCTATCTATCGAAGCTTACTAGTTTTCACGAATTAATAGTATAAGTATACATAGAATAGGTTGTATAATAATGTAGGTTGGTAAAACCAAAATTTTACACAACATTAAAAAATGACTTTTTATCCATTCTATATCTCTTTTGAAGTTTGCTAGTTGCTTTTGAAGTACTACTACTAGAGTACTTTTGAAGGTCTGATTACTCTACATCTGCGATTTAGCTGGCTTTTGGGTGTCCTAATGAGCCCCTCTCGAAATATGTTGTAATTATAACAATGGCTTTTAATTACGTATATACAATTCACAATTGCATTGTGGCTGTAGCATTGTAAGACATCCGAATTTATAGATTAGCAGCCAAGCATCCTTAATGATATTGCATGTGAATGACCGCGAGCTTAAACTTTTAAAATGTAAATAATTTTCAGAACTTAAACTAAATTGTTGCGGTGTCTCAAAATGAATGCGGTATTGGAGGAACTTCCTTGTAGTACCTGAAAAATAATAGTATGGTTATGATACATAGGAAATCTTAGTGTAAATAACATAGGATACAGGGGTTTAGTATATCACCTTACAAATCCGCCGAGGGGCGAAAACGCCTTGTCGTTTAATGGCATAAGAATTGGCGACGCTCGAAGACCCTGCGGTAACTTGATAAAGTACTTCACGCTACTTGGAATTAGAACTCCTAGAAAACCAGAATGTTTTAAACATGGTTTTTACTTGTAATGTAATGTAACAGAAATTAACGCGATGGTTTCGGGTATGTGCAATATAAACATACCTCCGGACTCAGCTATTAAAAATAAAAATGGTTTTTATTTGTGTAACATAAAATATAAACACGAAACACATACAGCCAAGGAAAATGATCTTACCTTTAGAATTATATCGATATCTACGTAACAATGATTGCATTGATGGATTCTGTACGCTGGATAACACTACAATTGCACATGGCTGTTCAGAAAAAGTTTATGATTAGTACAATTGTAGCAGTCATATTGTCAAATATTTTTGTTCATTTACTTAATACAGGGTAATTATGATTTGTGTTACCTTCTTAGATCGCAGTTTCTTTTCGTTATCGCTCTCGTAGTCTTCTTCTCGCTCATCGTAACTTTTTAAACCGATAACTTTTTCATGCTCGCCGCTGTCCATAGAGTGTGAATCCACATGACTTGGAGATTTGGTGTCCATGGTTGTGATTCCTGTCATATAACTATACGGCAGCATTTTCTAGAAATAATAAACCTCACTAAACTTTTCTGCACGAATATACATAAGACAGTAACACGTGTTTAAAGTTCCTTACATTCTCTATTATATGTATTCTATAGAATACAAGGAGTATAATACCAATAAACTTCATGACGGATGCACCTTCTTTTTACTAATGAAGTAACCAGCAAACCACGAATTAACTTGTTATAGTTTATAAACAAATCTAGACGTTTCTTTGAATTCGAGTGGGGCTAGTCAAATATCAAGTTATGCTTTGAAAATATGTTTTAAATGAACCAGTAATAACATCTACTTACTCGTGCAATGCTACTTCTAATTTTAAAATCAGTCGAATTAGGAAAGACTGAAGAACAAGTGAGTAAAAATTCTACTATGGAATATAATTACGACGTAAGTTTTTAATAGAAAATATAGTTTTATTACTTAGCTTTATGTGTGACGTGATTGTGGCAACGTGTGATAGTTCCCACAATGATGACGGTATAGTGCTTTGTGAAGGTCTTTTGAGTTCTTGGAAACGAATAACTTTGTAGTGTCTTGAGTTTTTTTTTCAACATTCAGTACCTCCATGACGTCGACTATTTTGTTTGTCCCTCTACATTAAAATTTCAAGGTAATTCCAATGAGGAGTGAACGAAAAAATAAATTGTTTTTGAGTGATCTTACGAACAATGTAATTTACATTTTATTGCATTATGCTATCCAATTGTTCATTTCAAATGCATTTGAAATGAACAATTGGATAGCATAATACAATAAAATGTAGAACACATAGTCATTAATTTTGTATACTTGGCAATACTTGTGTACCTTGTAAAAAAAGGAAGTTTTTGTCACATTAAGTATTAAAGTCAAAATATCTAAAATGATTCATAGAAAAAAAACTCCTATAGAGTTGAATTTGTAAAGTTACCAAAAAGTTGTAAATGGATTTTATCATAATATCAGACAAATGTCACAGTGTATTATATCAATTTTGTAGAACTATTGTCTTGTAAATTCTCTAAATCCCAGGCAATGTGTATGGAAAATTTCATTATTATTAGAGGCAAGTATCGGATGAGTGTATATAATACGAAGAAACATGCATAGATTTTATACACGTATTAGTATAATGATTATTATTACATTTTTTCACATTCTGATATAAAAATTTCAAAGATTCATAACACATTTCATCAAAAAGATAATCGGAGAAATAGACGACATAGAATGAACTTTGTGTTTGTGTATTTAGTTAATATTAATGCCAGGTACTGTAGCTTACATAATTTGTGTATAATTGCTTTTATAGAGGAGCCCAGTTCGGTAAGGCACCTACTGTATGGTTCTACCATAATCTAGGTATCGAATCTTGGATCATTACAATGTGATAACAATACCTCAGTCATTAGCATATAGCTGTAGTTCCGTGTATGGTTCAAGAAGTTCATAAAAATGTTAAGTACTTTACTATGTAAAGTGCCTGTTGAATATGTAACGTATCGCTGATATCTACATATGTAGTTAAAAGTGTATGAAATCTATTCAGAGTTAGTTCAGCTGTTCTATCTAATCGATTTGCTTGTTTTTAATGTATAGTTGCACAGATTTGTTATCTAGCATTGGTAATCACCTAACTTTCACCCTTCATCTTTATACTCAAATGTGATTTTCTCATGTATATATCGCATGTTTTCATAGCTTTCTCTATATCTCCGGTTTAAATTGAGCTTGCTGCATTTTGGTCTAACAGACTCGCTGGAATCAGCTCTTTCATTCGAGCTTTCTCTTACTTAAATTGTTGGAGTTTAAGAAAAACTAGATGTAGATATTCGAGTTCTCCTTATATATTTTAATTTATTGTATGTCCTATACAACCTTTGAATCCATTGTTATATATTTTCGGATACGAATTTAGTTTTTTCCTGGTTATACGCTGAATAATAATGACTGATTTCAGAATATAAACAGACGTTGAGCTCTGCTAGGCTGAATATTTATGGGGTTTTGGAAAATGACTTGCGTGGATTATGTTTTGGTTCGTGGTAATCGTAAATAACGTAGATACACTTTAAACAATATCGACAGACATGCGGGCGCCTGTAACGTTCACTGTTTGGTTTTGCTCAGCCAACACTTGCTTAATAATAATCATGCGGTAGTACTATTCAAAACAGACCGTCAAAACAGTACTTAAACACAAAAACGTCTTACCTTAACTCAGCGACTAAATTTAAAGCTTATAAAATTTTCTTTCGTTTGTTAAGGTTCTAATATCTGTTCAGCAGTTAATACATTTTATTTTCCAACTTCACGAACCCCACAAATACGATATCAATGTCTTGTATGTACCTATGTTTAGTAAAGCTCAATACCGATATCAGTTACAATAACTTAAACATAAAGTACCAAGTTAAATAAAATATTATTAAAGAACAAATATGCAGCAACATATTGTTTCTGTGCTTTTAAATATCATAAGATTCTGGTTAGACATTAATCTATGACAATCCAATATCAATTAGTTATTTCAAGGTCAGAAGTACATATTTTGCTTTTACTCTTGTCAGCTCTGCTCAGACTCCGAGTCAATAGCTTAGTTGGATTCTTCTTTTATGAAGCGTCAGCCGTGCAACACATCCATATTGTAAATAATATAATTAAATTCAACCGTTTATAGTCATTGCTCTCTGCAATGTAGTCTTTTAACTTTCTCAATAAATACTCTATCTAATACGAAGAGAATTATTCTAATCTGATAGGTAGTTTCCGACATTAAAGATTTTTAAGAAGTAAACATTTGAGCAAAATACTCTTCGGTTTTAGATTATTCGGATTCGGATTTAATTTACAAGTAGATTAAATCTAAACTTACTACACATAAATATGTATATAAATCACCTACCACAATAATTAAAATATTGAGATCATTTGTTTCGTGTCTGGGTATAATTTATCTGTAACATGTATAAAGTAATACTTAAGTATGTTTATCATCAGTCTGGATAGCTCAGGCTCTACCTAGTTTGTAGTTATCATTATTATTAAAGTGAATTCATACTATAGAATACAATACAAGTTGCATGCTTAGGTTTAAATACATTTATGATAAAGTTCGTGCAAACCTGAAGTTGCGAAACGAAGATCATCAAATTTTCTATACGTCCTGATTCCTTTTAGACGCTCTCACGAGGCAATCAGCTTAACGAGGTCAAGGGAACGACATCGTTTAACGTGGTCCGACGTTGTAGCTCTATCAAAAATGTTCCCAGAGTTTGTGTTTTATAGATTTTAATACTCAAACTCTCCTGGAAAACTTTCGGGTACTGAATATTCTGCTAATGATTAAAAATATTTACGCTCCTTTGCCAGTCATAAATCATAACAATCCTTTCATTATAAACTTTTTTTTTTACACGCTTTATATATTAGCTTCACTTGTATGTTTATTTGTATGTTTATAACCGGCTCCTTTGGGCGTGATTTTGACTGACTTTAAACGGTCAGAATTCGTTCAAACTTTGTAGATATATTGAGGACCGACGACAATACACTAATTTAAAAAATAAAATAAAAAAAAAATTAGTATTAAAAAACTAAAAAACACGCTTTCTATAGAAAACCAAACTAAAAAATAGAAAATAAATTTGAAAAAAAGCGTTGGGTACCTGTTGTCAATAGTAAAAAGCACCCCACGCATATTTTCAATTTTTTTTTAATATTTTGTTTTTCTTAACTGTTTTCCCTTTATAGGCGTAAAGTCTTCGGATAACACTATGATATTATTCCTAACAAATGTTTTCATTACCATGATTAACTCTTGTCCTTGAATTTATGAGCGAAAATGATGGAGACTACCATTGCATTACAAATTAATACTGAACTATAGCATTATATCTACCTGTATTACTTCCGAATACATTAAAAGTGTGCGCTTATGAATTGAAAAATGTAATTTTATAATAATTTTTTATAACATACGTTTTGCATTAATGAGTTCTACTGACTTTTCTGGTTATTATTTATACCCTATAGTAAATAAGTGCTATTGTGATGTAATCAGTGGATACTGTTTTTTTTAATGTTTGTTGTCAACACAGTAATTGGTGTACGTCACTTTTGTTTGAACAAATGTGTTTTACGGACGGTAAGGTCGTGTTGTGTTTGAGTATCAGGTTTCTGCTGTTAGGTATAGTGAAAGTGTTCGTCAAGATATTTTGATTGTAGTGTATCCAACCACTTTGCAGTGCATAGTGTGTTGTTATACAATTTTATTTTATATTAATAAATCGAGAAGTTTTTTTCTCTGTGTCATACATAATACTGATCGTGTTTTGAAGAGGACTAACACTTCAGTCAAGTTGTATAAAGTGCCCTTGTGAGATTATTGTCCCAACGAATATAAATGACAAGAAACATGACTAGAGGAAGAGTTCTGAAGAAATTTAGAGGGCGTCCCTCTTATGTGGTGAATCAAACTAACTTTACGAAACGTAGAACTCACAGGCATAAGAGGTATGCTGGAGTAGGTTTCTTTATACTTTCGTTTCTTGACAACACGTCAGAACTTTTAATTAGACTTGCAATATTAAGGATATTCATTAAAAATACTCCGCCCGGGATGTTCTATAAAATTAATTTAAAAATGTTGATTCAGACTTGTCATCAAGCATGTGAAATTACCCCACTTTCAACCTTTTAAATCATACTCAAACGTAATTTGCTCCTGTCTATTTCTTTTGTTTCAATACATTTCATTGTCTATATGTCCAGTTTTTATTCAAGTCGCGATAAGTTTTGACCTAAGGACACTTGCTGAAAGACGCTCTTTCATTAGTTCGAGCTTTGCCCACTTAAATTGATTAAATTAGAGAGAGCTAAGTTTGAATATTCAGCTGAAACTTAATGCTGTGGTACTGTAAAAGTCTTTCTTGCATGCATTTATTAGAATTTAAATTCATTTTAAGTACAGAAAAATCACGTGATTGTATGTATATCTAAAATACAAATTACGATCTTTGTATAGACATGTAAGTAGTTTTATTGTCCTACTTTTAAAACACTAATTAGGTCAAACTTAATACCGTTCTGATTGGTTATTGTGTTTGATAAACTGTAGTGTAGTTTGTAGGTTTCATAGCAAATTAGTTCATAGGATATTTTCTCCATTAAAATGTGTGGTCGTTAGGTCAATCGCTAAATTCGTATTTGTACCGACAACATATGACCCCGAAAAACATAAAATTTTACAAATAAAATATTAAAATTTAATAATAGTAACGTTAATTAAACCTTTCTCGTTCTTGTGGTCGAAAATTAGTGCCTAATATCAGGAATTATTTCTACTAAATTCTATTTAATATTTTTAATCACGGATAATTTATAATACAATATAATAGCGTGGACATTAAAATATATATGTATATTCTTTGCCTGATGACATGGTCATACATATGTGTATTGTGTATAATATTATTGTATTAATAATTCCTATTTGTTTCAGGTCAACCGGCAATTTCGCAGCAGGCGCGGCGGGTGGCGGGGTCGGGGCCCCGCGCTCCGCCCCCGCCACCCCGCTGCAGCTAGAACCTCATCCGCCTCGCTCCACTAAACATGACAAGTAAGACCTTTTTGAGTAGTAATTTTTCAATAATAAAAAACAAAAAAAAACACTTCGCTAGAAAAGCGTCGAATGAGTGGCTGCGGCGCGGAGAACTTTTCCAGACACTGAAGCTTTTGTGATCGCTATTCAGGAGCAGGTTATTGATACTCATAACTATCAAAAGCATATAATCCGTACGCCTAACCTTCCTGCCGACTTATGTAGACGATGCCATAGCAGTTCCGAAACTATCCAACACATAACTGGTTCTTGTAAATGTATCGTACAAATTGATTATAAACACAGACATGACCAAGTTGCAGCAATAATCCATCAAAATCTAGCTCAAGAATGGTAATTTATTTCAAATAAAACTGCTTATTATAAATATAAACCCAGTACAGTTCTAGAAAATAATGCATTTAAAATATATTGGGATAGAACAATTACCGACAAAAGCATACACCATAATAGACCGGATATAACAATACTAGACAAAACTAACAACATAGTTTTTATTATATATAGCAGTATGTAACACACAATATCCTCACGATGCACACATAATGTATGTCAAAATACACAGAATTAGCAACTGAAATAAAAAGGCAATGGCAGGTAGATAGAGTTAAAATTGCGTGTGTTAGATTTTGTTACCCCTTTAAAATAAAAGGGAGACTAGAAAATATGAAAAAGATAATAATAATTATCGGAAATATATCCTGAAAGATAGTACGGTTGACATCTGTCGGGCATGCCACCGTCCTGGGGAATCAATAAGGCATATTATTTCTGGTTGTTCTCGTTTCGCTAACGGTGAATATTTGCAAAGGCACAACCAAGTAGCCAGGATCGTACACCAACAGCTTGCCCTCATATACCAACTTGTCAATCTAGAGGTGCCACACTACAGGTATGTGCCCGACCCAGTTCTCGAGAATGGTCGGGAAGTTGTATTGGGATCGATCTATTATCACAGACACAGGGCTATTGTTGCCAAAAGCCTGATATTGTGGTGATAGATCGATTAGAGCGTCGCGCAATGGTTGTTGCCGTTCCTCATGACAAGAATTTCGTGAAAGTTGAAAAAGGAAAACAAAATATTTGGATTTATCACACGAGATTGTCGATATGTGGAATGTGAATTCGGCGATCATTGTTCCGATAGTTGCATCTGCTTACAGATTGATAGCTAAGAGCCTTGACCAACACCTTAAGAGGCTCACGTTAGACGGCTAGATCAAGGGTCTGATGCAGAAGGTTGTTTTCATTGACACGGCCCGTATAGTATGGAGGTTCCTTACCACTGGTGTCTTGGTCCCTGTACGCAATTCCGGTGGTCTACTAATTTTTATATTCTTAATGTATTTTTTTTTATTTTGTGACATTTAAAAATGTAATCAATATGTATTTTAAAATGTAATGAAGAGAATAATAATAATAACTTGACAGATGTCACATAAATATAAAATATATATAAATACCATCATACACTTTTATACATTGAAATTGGCTTGTTACTGCTCGCATGAGTGTGTGATGTGTCACACTGAAAATGGAAAACGGTAGCAGTCAAAACAATACAAATAGCACTGTACGGTTATTGTATTATAAAATTTGTCGCCATCTAACGCAAAAAAGAACTAGTTAAAACTTTTATCCCGTAACTCACATTAACTGATATAAGACCTGTATAACCTGGGCCTCAATTCTGCTATTTTATGTTAATAGCCACTGTTATTCCATTGACACGCTATTGTAATGCCATTGAGATGCCACTGATATCGGTATTCTACTAACATAATTTCACAGTGTCAATTGACTTTTGATTGATTGATTGTTGATTGACGGTATAGTAATATAGGTCATCAATTGTGATATTAACAACATTGCTATATCATGAAAATTAAATATATAATTTTCTTACAAATTTAAAATGTACCACTTACCAAACTATTACAAAGACATCGATGACATTTGTATCAGTGACAAGTCATCAGGGAGGCCATCGGTCTTACATAGTTAGTAGAATAAGAAAAGTGCAAAATTATTCCGACGACATTCCATTGACACTCTATTGATACAATATTCAAATAGCAGAATTGAGGCCCTAGTTAGATTATCCTGGCTTTGTGTCTAAGGCCCGTATTTTAAAAGACGTCTCGAGTGTCGGTTGAATTCTGATTGCCTTAAAGTAGTTTAAGGTGTAGATCAAAACTTAAGAACCGATCTTATAATAGAACGTGTTATACGTTTTACTTAGTTGAAACTAGTTTTAAGTATTGATTTGAACTTAGTCTGTTCTCAATTACGTTTCCTCATGATTGACATTATTATTCCGTATTACGCAGCTAATTATTTAAAAAATATTTTTTTATTACAAACATTATTGCTGTGAATTTGTATATAGTATACTATTGGCAAATGTAGCAATGTTAACATATTAAACAAGCTTGCTGTTCGTCCAAAATTAAATATAATAAATATTAAAAATAAGCTATAGACTTTAACGGAACGTATGTATGACAAGTAATTCTTTCGTAAATAAAGTAAAGTAAATCTTTCGTAATTATTCAGAAACATATCATCGTAAAACACATTCATTTCCCCTAAATCACCGCTTGAGACTAGTTTCAGCTTGTCTTACCTAAACAAAGATCACAGCTGTCAAAATCTATACCTGAGTAATGATTTAGACATAAACGTTATTCGAAAATAAGCTATCACTCACTTGAGTATGGATGGGTGAATCTCGTTTTAAGTGACGTTCAATAATAAAATCTCTACTTAAAATTAGTTTTAAAACTAGATTCACGACTGAGATACCTTTTAAAATATGGGCCTAAGACTATATCACATCGATACACCACAAATATAACAGTTGAACAAATATTTCTAATTCATGGATAAGTATTAAAGTTTCAAAGTATGCAACAAGACAGTAGGTGAACGTAAATAATATTCTATTCAAGATTAAAAGTTTAGTTGATATGGCCAGTATTTATCATAAGTAACATAAAGTTATAACATTTAAAACTTATAATCTACCGTTAAATGCTTAAGCGCAAAGTACGAGTTTACATGATAACCGTTATCAAGATCGGATAAAATCATGCGATAGTAAATTTTTATTAATACTATATCAGCATAATGTATACGCTTATAATTAGTAATGTTTTTATCTTATAGTGGAACGGTCGTGTTTTTTAAGTACGTGCTCCGAATGAACTATAAAACAATATTGTTTTTAAAAGAGAAGGTGTATAGCTTAAATACTGGTGGCATGGTATAGCTTACAATGGGATGAGTCAATAGTTTTTGTGACAGTATTTCAATACAATGTCGTCTTATCTTGAAGATACAGAGGGATATATGGCGGGAGGTTATAGGATGTTAGCAACCGTTATTGGTGGAGGATTCAGGTACTTGATATTTAAATTAACACAATCACTTTTTTACATTTATCACCATTAAATATCAATACCATTATAAGAAGTTGCAGGGTTCTGTTATTAAATAGTTTTACTCGTAGTATTAAAAATTTGCGTGCCTTGGCCAGGCCACAGAATACGTGGCTGAGACTACCGAGGTTCATTAGGCCCCCACGATGGTGCACCAATGACTTTCTACAGATTTGATAAAACCTCTTTGTGCGTTATAAGCGACAAATAATCGAAGTGCCATATTATCTTGTTAACAATTTCACAAATGGTATAATTTGACGAAACTTGCGGTTATTTCATCTGAGACTATATACTGTTCATTATATTATGCGGATTGCATTAAGGTTAGTGGTTATATTTTATACAAATGAGTATTACCAAAGTAAAATTAGTAGATAAGTATAGTTCAAAATGTTTTCCGCTTATCACTTGTAATAGCAGTGGGGAGCCCAAGACGCTAAATGTGGATTTACTCGAGCGTCATGGGGGGGACTTATTGCATTTGAAAGATTAGGTAATAGAATGAATGAGTGGTATGTAATGTATCCACTTTCAGCAGTGGGAAAAGCTTCTACAGGAAATCAAAAAAAAAATATTCTGGCGCGTCGATATTTTGGGGATATGTTATTAGGACGCCAAAAAATGTTCCCATTGAAAGGTCTGACGATTTATAAGTGACATAATCTCGTAACGAATTATCGAAAATGTTACAAACTAAACATTGCGAAATACCCAAACGAGCGTATTAAATTTTATACAGACGGTTCAGCTTGATGTTCATCTCATACTGGCCCAAAATCTGATTAAATTTTGCAAGGTATTTTAAATACTTTTAATGAAGTATTTTGATTTTTTATAAAATGTGACAAATAAACGCACGTAAAATTATGGAGACATTTTAAAGAAGATTGGTTCAAAAAACAAAAACAAAGAAGATCATGGGTTTTTTTTTGGAACTTTGTGACCCTCCCACTGCTTTATGTCACGCTCAAATCCTCAGATTTTCTTAAATACACACTAATGAGTATGTAATTGACTTTACTTACCTTAATCTTACACGCTCGAGTATTTCTGGCCATCGATTTTTTTTTAACTAATCTGATGGACTACCCTAGACGTTCCCCTCTATGTGTAGGGCTCATGTATGGTTCACCATACATGAGCCCTACACATATAGGAGGAATACCTTACACCCAGTTGAGTACCTTCAGGTACTCAGCTGGGTGTAAGGTATTCCTCCTATAGTAATTTGACATGCTCGAGTAAATCCCGAAATCCCTTCTAGGGTTCTCCTACTATAAACGATAAATATGTTAATTTAATATATATAATAGCAACGTGGGTTCGTGCAACCTAGGAATAATTGTGTCGAATTTTAGACGTTTTGTCACCGGATTTTAGGGAGGGCGTTGTCTTAATCCAGCTACCATACAAAATTAGAGAGCAATAACATTTGAAATTGGTATAACAGGTACTTATTCGTATATTTAGATGATAACACACTTCAAAAATAGTGGATATACTGTGACTCACCGACATATAGTCGTTTTTTTAACGCCTAAATGTAAATGGTTCCTTA